TCCCAGTGGCCCCGAGCCCTGTGGGTGATGTAGCCGACCCCAAAATATCCCCTCGTGGGTCACCGAGTCGGCTGGGCAGAGTGGCACCACTGCAGAGAAACCCAGCCTGGAGAGCACCTGGCAGAGTTGGTCTCTGCTTTTCCCAGCCCACCGCCGCTGTGGACATCAGGGGCTTTGCCCAGGGTGGCAGAGGGTCATCCAGCCCCAGAGGGACAGGCACCGTGCAGCGCAGGGCTCGGGCTGGGGCCGGAGGGCTGGTTGTGCGCGGGCACAGCCCTGCCGCAGGACAAAGAGCTTTGCCTGGAAGAGCAGAGTCATCCTCTTCCCTTCCCCATCCGCTCGTGCCTGGAGGTTGGAGCAGAGGAGCTGCCAGGCTCTCCCGGGCTGGCAGAGCTGGCTCCAGCTGTGCACGCTACTAGCGCCTGGGCTCACAGGAGGGGTTACTGGCAAGAAAGCATGAGGATTTCACCTGGGAGGTGTTGCGCGCTCGTGACATTTAACATCGCGTTGCCGGGGTCGAGCCCGGACACACGGCGCTCTGCAACTTGCTTTCCGTAGGTGGCTTTGTAGAAACACTGTCACACAATCATTCCTGGAGCTCCTTTCTGAGAAGCTCCTTTCAGAAGAGGATGCGGCAGCCTGCGCAGACATGCAGGCAAGACCAGCTCTGGGCTGTGCGGGGACGCAAAGGTGCAAAAAGCAAACAAAAAGCTGTTAGTCCTGCATGGGAAAACTCGAGGTGTGTGCTGCAGAGCGGGGGCTGGCTCAGAAACCGCCCTGGAAGCAGGAGAACCCCAGGACAGGTGGCCTGGCACGTGGCCACCACCGGGGAAGCGTGTGCCTTGTGCTGGACCTGCCGGGGCAGCGAGGCCCTGGGTGGGCTCGTTGGAGAGAGGCAGGCAAAGGGCTTGGCAGGGACCTTGCCGGAAGAAAACAGGAGTAAACGCCAAGACGAGGATGGACTTGGGAGTCAGTCTTCTCCTCTGAACTCCCCAATCTCGGTCTCAGGCCACTTGGGTTTGGCCCTGGGCAGTGCGTGGGACAAGGGTAGGAATTGACTCCTCTGGGAAGGGACGGGATGGGGATCCCTGCGGCAGGGTGGAAGGGACAGCAGGATCTATCCCTGGCTTGTCAGCTTTGAAATCAAGGGGGCTTTGAGGCAGGTTTCCTCCAAACTTGGATGGCCCTGCTTGTCTCCTGCCCTTCCCATAAGCAGCTGTGGGTGGGGAGCCGGATGAATAAAGGACTTACGCTATGAATAATGCCAAGAGAAACGTGCCTGGAAAAGAGTGTCAGGATGAGGCTCACGGGAGACACTATGCCACTAGACAGAGCCCCATGGGATCGAGCCATCGGACAGGATGCCTTCCTCCCTGCCGAGCCACGCTCTGCCCTCGTACCACCTGGTGCCAGCCCTTCCAGGCAGGAACGGGGCCATTTCTTGCAAGGACCTCTTATCCCAGAGGCTCCTCATCCACACACTAACCAGAGCTGGGAGCAGTCTGAGTTGCACGAAGCACCAGCTGCATTCCTGGGAAACCGTCCCACCTCTGTGCTGTGCCATGCAGAGCAGAGACCGTGGTGCAGCCCCGGCCGGCAAGGAGTGTGGGCACAGGCTTCCCACCAGCCGCTCCTCCGGCAGCCAGGGGCTGGGAGTGAGCGGGGCGAGCAGCACTGAGGGACGTGCGAGAGAGGCCTGGGCATCTAACAGCACACAATGGAGCTGGGCTTTTTTCCTTTTGACCTGGATATTTTAACCTGTTTCTCCCAAATGTGAGTTCTGGGTTAAGCAAAGCATCTCCTGGCTCACACCCACAGAGGACGCAGGAGACCGCTGCTTTCCTCTGGCACAGTGCGAAAGCGTCGCTCCCTTGGCAAAGGAGTGAACAAGCCTCCGGAGAAACTAGAGGGAAAGGGCATTCTGCTTCCCTTGAAACAGGGCCTTCTGGGCTTCCTGGTCACCTGGGGCA